AGCATTGAAATCCCCAACCACCATTACTCTCACACTTGATTCAAAACTCCCCACGCATTCACTCAACATTTCCCAGAATCTCTCTCTCTCTCCTCTACATATAATATAAGATATAAGACATAAATAAACATGACACAAATAATAGCAGTGTCACTTGCTCAGCAATCAGAGAGTGGCCCATACACCACAAACCAACAGGTTTACTAGCCGCTCCCTGAGACCAAGACAAGCAGATGGAAAGATGATACACACAGGCAGACAGAAAGACAGATGAGCAGAACTAGACAGGCAGATAAGCAGAGCTAGGCAGACAGACAGATAGATGTACATATAGACAGATAGTTGTACAGATAGATGTACAGATAGATAGATGTACAGATAGACAGATGTACAGATACAGATAGACAGACTGACACAGACATACATAGACATGTTTGTGTGCAAGAGTAAAAACATATAAAGGCAAGGTCCCCCTCCAGCAGTGCACGTTCATCAAATGTCACTGTTATCTGACACTGTCATAACACAATTATTCAAGGTGCTCATATTACACTCCAGGCACACACACAAGACAGAAAGACAGATAAGCTGAACTGGACAGACAGATAAGCAGAACTAGGTGGAGAGATAAACAACAGATAGATGTACAGATAGATGTATAGATAGACAGACAGGCAGACAGATAGGCAGACAGATAGGCAAACAGATAGACTGACAGGCAGACATACAAAGACATGTTTGTGTGCAAGAGTAAAAACATAAAGGCAAGGTTCCCCCCTCCAGCAGGGCACATTCTGACCCTTGTCATAACACCATGCTTCAAGGAGGTTCATACTCCAGCATGTCTAAAACATTGCTGGGACCTATAAATACTTTGTATATATTTCTAGACAATAGTAAATGACCAGGGCAGGTGAAAATGTTCACCTGTCAGTGTGATTGTTACAATTTGAGTACTATTTCAGTACATAATATTAGTGTCAGAACAAAGATTGGCTATGAAATCACAAGAACTATTATAAATTGTAATTATCAGAACATAAAAATTATTTAAATTAAAATAAAAATGAGAAAAGGCAAATCAGCAGCACTTCTGCAAGGGGCAGGACTGGATGTTGCCAACTTCATGGTCTTATATCTCGGTAAGTACTGGTCCTAATTTTTTTTTTTGCTTATACCACTCAGGAAATATTCGGGACGCATGCAGTGCGTAACGTAGGATTCTACGTTTGGACAGTTTAAAGGAATAAATGTCCTAAGGTACAGGAGGGCCCCATTTGTACTGGCTCTTAGGTTCCTGACCCCATGCAGTAAGCGAAAATCACTGGCAGGTGGAAAAGAGTGGCTTTTTCATTATCAAATGCATCTAAAATGCCTGATAATGTGTTTATACAGCTATGCATAGAAAAGATAACATAAAATAAATACTCAGTGCATACAATAGACATTGATGGAGTGCATGATAGTGAAAGTTTTTCTTTTTCAGGCCACCCTACCTTGGTGGGAAATTGCTGATGTGTTAATAAAAACAGAAAAAAGTACAATACTTATCTTTAAAATATAGTACCGGTCACCCTTCCCTTACTCAACTGTTGTGTGAAAATGGCACAAAAAACCCAAAAATTGATTAAAAACACTGAACATAATGAACAATTGGCTTGACTGTGTAAAGCCAATTGATAAGCATGGAACTCTGAAAAGTGCAAATACAGTGGACCCAGAATTAACGATCACCCTCCCAATGCGACCTATTACAGTGGACCCCCGGCATTACCGTCGCATCACATAACGTACAATCCGCATACCGGCTCCTTCTATCGCAAAAAATTTGCCTCGCCATACCACTCAAAAACCCGCTCACACTCTTTCGTTGAGACGCGTCCAATCGTGCACCTTAGCTGCCTCACAAGTGTGCCGCTGGTGGCATTGTTTACAAGGCTGCCTCCGCGGTTAACCATCCAAGCATTACAGATCGGAACATTTCGTATTATTACAGTGTTTTGGTGATTTAATCAGCCAAATAAGTGACCATGGGCCCCAAGATAGCTTCTAGTTGCCAACCCTACAGCAAATTAAGGGTGAGAATTACAATAGAAGATGAAGAATGAGATCATTGATAAGTATGAAGTGGAGTGCTGATGTTGCCGACCTGGCCAGGTTGTAAAAGAAACCAAATCAACCATCGCTACTATTGATGGGCAACAGAAAAGGCAATCAAGGAAGTGTTCTTGCCAAAAGGTTTATCTGTGTTTCGAAACAGAGGATCGCAAGTGATGGAAGATTGTTGAGAGACTCTTATTGGGTGTGGAATAAATGAAAAACAGCTAGCAGGAGATAGCGTTTCTCAGCGATCATTAAAGCAGAAAGGCTAGGAAGTTGCATGAGTGATTTAATTAAAAAAATGACTGCAACTAGTGTTGTGTGAGTGGAATTTAAGGCCAGCAAGGTTGGTTTGAGAGATTTAAGAAGCGTAGTGGCATACAAGTGTGATAAGGCATGGTGAGGCTGCCAGTTCGGACCACAAAAGCAGCTGAAAAATTGTTGCAGGAATTCAAGAATACATAGACAGTGAAGGATGAACCTGTTGATACAAGTGTTTAATTGTGATGATAACAGGCCTGTTTTGGAAGAAAATGCCAAGCAGGACCTACATTAATGAGGAGGAAAAGGCACACCAGGACATAAGCGTATGAAAGACAGTCTTACTTTGTTGATGTGTTCCAATGCTACTGGTATTGCAAAAGTGAAGCCTATATTAGTGTATCACTCTGAACTCCCAGGACGTTCAGGCAAAGAATGTCCTCAAGGAGAATTTGTGTGTGCTGTGGAGTGCAAACAGTAGGCATGGGTCACTAGGGACTTTTTCTATGATTGGTTACACCATGCATTTTGCCCCCAATGTTGAAAAGATTACCTACTGAAAAGAAATTAGAACTTAAGTGCATCCTGGTGTTAGACAGTTGCCCCTGGTAATCCTACAGACGTGGAGAGCGACTTTAGGGACATGGAAATTCATTAAGGTGAAGTTTGCCTCCTAATACCACTCTCTCTCCTGAGCCCATGGACCAGCAAGGTTATTGGCAAACTTCAAAAAAACTGTACACAAAAGCTCTGTTTTGAACGGTGCTTTGTAGTGACATTAGAAACTCAACTGACTCTAAGAGAGTTTTGGAGAGAGCACTTTAATATCCTCAATTGTGTTAAACCTTATAGGTAAGCTTGGGAGGGGGTGACTAAGAAGACTTGATCTCTGCTTGGAAGGGGAAACTGTGGCCAGAAATGTGTAGACAAAAGGGATTTTGAAGGGTTTGTGGGTAAATCCCTGAGAGGATTATGCCAGTTGATGAATCCATTGTGGCATTGGGAAAGTCCTTGGGTTGGAGGTTAGTGGGTGTGATGTGGGAAGAGTTGGTGGAGGAGGACATGATGAAACTAACCATGATGAGCTGATAGATCAACTTTCAACAGCAAGAGGCCAGACCTGAGGAAACTGGTTCAGGGAGGGGATGAGGAGAAATTGAAGAAGTTGCCTACTTCAAAGTTTAAGGTAAACACATCTGTGGCAAAGTGGCTGAAGTGCAAACCTCATGGGATGATATCCCTTAACACAGCTATTGCAAGCCGATGTTGTCAACATGTACACTGACAATGTTGTGAAACACTTTAGGGAAGTCATAAAGGAACGAGAGGTACAGGCCACACTATGGACAGATATGTGTGCGAAAGAGAGTCCAGTGACTCTGATGCTGGTCATAGTGGCATTAAAAGAAGAAGGGAAGTAACCCCAGAAATTGACTCGACACCTCAAGTCTTAATGGAAGGGGATTTCCCCTTTCAAAAACAATAACACTCTTCTCCCCTCCTCCCATCCCATCAATCATCCCCAAGATCTTCAATAAAAGTAAGTGTCATGTAATTGTGCATGCCTTTTTCAGTTTGTGTGTATTAAAATTAACATTTCATGTGGTAATTTTTTTTTTTTTCATACTTTTGGGTGTCTTGCACGGATTAATTTGATTTCCATTATTTCTTATGGGGAAAATTCATTCGCATACCGACCATTTCGCATAACAAAGAGCCCTCTCGCACGGATTAAAGTCGCTATGCGGGGGTCCACTGTATGTAAGTGTATTTATGTAAGTGCATTTGTACGTGTATGTTTGGGGGTCTGAAATGGACTAATCTACTTCACAATATTCCTTATGGGAACAAATTCGGTCAGTACTGACACCTGAACATACTTCTGGAATGAAAAAATATTGTTAACAGGGGGTGCCCCTCCTGTACATTGGACCCCCGGTTTACGATATTTCATTCCACAGGTATGTTTGGGTGCCAGTACTGACCGAATTTGTTCCCATAAGGAATATTGTGAATTAGATTAGTCCATTTCAGACCCCCAAACATACACATACAAATGCACTTACATAAATACACTTACATAATTGGTCGTATTGGGAGCTGATCGTAAACCGGGGGTCCACTGTATTTGAATTTTTTTTCTCTACTGCTGTACCTTTGCTACCAAATAATAATGGTCACTCTTTGGCCCTAGAAAATCTATATTTGAGATAGAAGGTTCATCATCAGCATCATTTGTATGTGAATGGGAATTTTTTTTTTCCCCTTAAGTTTTGCACTTTCTGCTTGAAAGAGTGAGTGATCTTGAACTACATTTGTGCTCTCCATTGAATGTCTAGGATAACAAGTAAATGTTCATACCTGGTTATGGCAGTAATCAGTTAACAAATGATAGAACATGCTTATGGCCTATGTTGATAACATTGTGTTTATATTATAAACAAAGAAAGCTAAAGATAAATGTGACACAAAATGTTTCTGTAGAGAATTATAGTATGTTGTGAGTCAAGTCTTAAGTATTCATAAGTATATTTTAAGTACTGTATAATTACTCTTTAAGAAGTAGGCATAATTGTAATTTTTATTGCTACATTATATACTCTTTAAGTTCTGCCATAGTTTATTTTTTTCAAAAATAGCTACAGCCAAACAGTGCAAGTGGTTCAGGAGCTCTTGAGCACGATCCAACATTCCTTTACCGCCCACTGCCCGAAGGAGAAACCATTGCTGGACCTCTGCCTCTAGGGGTTACTGTCATTGATGCTTCAGTTGTCCTCTTTGGACAGATGTTTCCCCTGGTGGCAAACAAGCATAGACTCAAGGTGAGAATATTTTAATTTTAAAGAGGTAATTTTTCATTGAAATTTAGCGGATAGTGAGCCTTTGTATACCAGCTTTACTCCATACATTTAGTCTATGCATCAGTACTATGAAGGGAAGGCTCTCAGCCCTTCCTGTCTTTGCATCATGGTGTAACAGCAAGTGTAATAGGTCATTGTGCACCCAAATTCCATCCAGCACAATCAGGAATTTAATTACTGAGAAAAATGCCCAAAGAAACTAGCATTTGTCATCTACAAACTCCATGTGGGGAAACACTTAGATGCTTGGGGAAACAGCAGGGAACACAAGCACACATAACAAGGAATTAAACATGCATCAGGAGTCAGAAGCTTGAATGCAAGGTTTTTGCATCACAGATAAAACATGACTTCTCGAATAAAATGATGCTTGAACTGATCAACAAATAATTCCTCAGTCATCCATGCTGACTGGTTTGACTAGCAGATAACAGACAAAGTGGTTGTTTTTCTATTTTAAGGTATGGTTTTTTTTTTTTGAGCAGTAAACAAGTATGGGTCTGCATTTAGTCACCTGTTGCATTAGCACACAGCAGCAAATAATAGGTCTTTAAGCATGTGGAAAGGAAAACTGGGCCCCCCTGGTGCCACAGTGAAGGATGGCCATGTCGGAGTGCAAGACAGAAACAGAGCTGCTGTGAAAGGTGGCAAACTTCAGGCTGAAGGTGGAAATAGATACAAAAAATAAATCGTAAACAGACAGAAATGCATTACCCAGAGACACAAAATGTGGTGGTCTATTGTACCTCCACTTGAATCTCATTCCTGCAGCATTATTTATGAAGAAATGCAGTATGTTTATCCTTGCAAATCTATATTTTTCTCGTTACTTCTGTGGTTTTATGTTCTTGATGTTAACATGAACATGTTTTTTGTCGTGTCCTCCTCACATATGAGCCAGCGAGTGCTTTAAGTGTTTCTATATACAGGTGTAAATCATTTTTTGTAACTGAGGGAGTCATTTTATCTATATATTCCTATTTTATCTATAGATTTTTTTTTGTTCATGCACCACACTGCTATTTTGGTCTATTTTGATGTACTTCAAGATATTTTTTATTCATTATCATTTATTTTATTGATCATCCTCTTCCATTGGTTTTCATTTGTCATTCTGTTTTTTCCTACCCTAGATGTTAAACTTGTTTGGGGATATGATACGAGCAGCCAAAAGTCAGCGCCAAGAAGCAGTCCAGATGAACATCTTCACAGCTGTTCTTAGTGCTCTGAAGGTACTGAGTGACAACAAGGCCTCTTTTGGTCAAGACGATGTTAAAAAAGCTGCAACAGCCCTTCTCTTGGTGAGTACCATAAGACATAGAAATTTAATATAACCTTTTTGATCTCTTATGTTTCCAATAGGGATGTGCCAAAGTACATAGGTGTTGGTATCAGTGGATATCAGCCATTTTTATGGTACAGGTTGGCCATCACTAATCCAGTTCATCACTAATCAGGCACTAATTTCGGCTAGCGTAATTTCAAATGTCTTGGGCATCTCACCAACTTGCTACTACTTGCTGCATAAACACTGTTGGTGTCACTTGCAAACTGGGAAGCCATTCCAATTTGTTTTTTCTGCATTATTGTTATAACCTGCTCACTTTAACCCCAACCATGGTTCTAGTGAATAAAGGAAGTGCTTGTAATTGTGTAAAGCACAGACAGTCCATTGTCCATAAAAGATAAGGTTGAACTTCTGAAAAAACTCGACAGCTGTGTGTCTGTGAGAAAAAACAGTGCTGTAATTACAGCACTGGTTCAGTATACCTGGTAAAGTGTATGGTAGAGTTATTATTGAAAGAATTAAGAGTAAGACAGAGAGTAGGATAGATGAACAAGGAGGCTAGGAAAGGTAGGGGGTGTGTAGACCAAGTGTTTACAGCAAAACATATTGGTGAACAGTATTTAGATAAAGGTAAGGAGGTTTTTGTGGCATTTATGGATTTAGAAAAGGCATATCACAGGGTGGATAGGGGGGCGATGTGGCAGAAGCTGCAGGTGTATGGTATAGGAGGTAGGTTACTGAAAGCAGTGAAGAGTTTTTACGAGGATAGTGAGGCTTAGGTTAGAGTATGTAGGAGAGAGGGAGATTATTTCCCAGTAAAAGTAGGCCTTAGACAAGGATGTGTGATGTCACCGTGGTTGTTCAATATATTTATAGATGGGGTTGTAAGAGAAATGAATGCTAGGGTCTTGGCAAGAGGTGTGGAGTTAAAAGATAAAGAATCAAACACAAAGTGGAAGTTGTTACAGTTGCTCTTTGCTGATGACACTGTGCGTTTGGGAGATTCTGAAGAGAAGTTGCAGAGGTTGGTGGATGAATTTGGTAGGGTATGCAAAAGAAGAAAATTAAAAGTGAATATAGGAAAGAGTAAGGTTATGAGGATAAAAAGATTAGGTGACAAAAGACTGAATATGAGATTGGAGGGAGAGAGTATGGAGGAGGTGAATGTATTCAGATATTTAGGAGTGGACGTGTCACCAGATGGGTCCATGAAGGATGAGGTGAATCACAGAATTGATGAGGGAAAAAGGGTGAGTGGTGCACTTAGGAGTCTATGGAGACAAAGAACTTTCTCCTTGGAAGGAAAAAGGGGAATGTATAAGAGTATATTTGTACCAACACTCTTGTATGGGTGTGAAGAATGGGTGATGAATGTTGCAATGAGGAGAAGGCTGGAGGCACTGGAGATATTATGTCTGAGGGCAATGTGTGGTGTGAATATAATGCGGAGAATTCGTAGTTCGGAAATTAGGAAAAGGATGAGATTACCAAAACTATTATCCAGACGGCTGAGGAGGGGTTGTTGAGGTGCTTCAGACATGTAGAGAGAATGGAACAAAACAGAATGACTTCGAGAGTGTATAAATCTGTAGTGGAGGGAAGGCGGGGTAGTGGTCGGCCTAGGAAGGGTTGGAGGGAGGGGGTAAAGGAGGTTTTGAGTGCGAGGGGGCTTGGACTTCCAGCAAGCATGCATGAGCATATTTGATAGGAGTGAATGGAGACAAATGGTTTTTAATACTTGATGTGCTGTGAGCAAAGTAACATTTATGAAGGGATTCAGGGAAACCGGCAGGCCGGACTTGAGTCCTGGAGATGGGAAGTACAGTGTCTACACTCTGAAGGAGGGGTGTTAATGTTGCAGTTTTATAACTGTAGTGTGATGGCAGGACAGTGATGGAGTGAATGATGATGAAAGTTTTTCTTCTTCGGGCCACCCTGCCTTGGTGGGAATCAGCTGATGTGTTAATAAAAAAAAATACTGTATAAACATTTAAAAATATACCGGAAATGTTATAAATGGTACAAAGATGACATTAAAACAATATCAGAGATGATTGACACAAATCCCACTACCATTATAGTATGCTTCTCACTTAACGCAAATATGTTTACCAACATGGTCTTAGGAATGGAACTCCGTTGTTAAGTGAGGAGAGGTTGTATTAAAATAATGCAGTAGTCTGCATAACAGTGAATCTTCTATTTTTGTGTGAATAGAAATTCAGAATGGAAAGCAAACGTAATATAAGAGTGGCCTGGAGACATGACTAAGAACAAAGAAAATGTTATTTAAGTGCCAGGAATGTCTGCATTGTTTATTCTGGACACTTTTGAAATTGGCATCTCTTCTGATTAGTTTAATGGGTAGTTGAAATAGGTAAATGGGTGGGTTCTTGTATTTAGTTGACAGAATAGAACGAATACTAGCAAAATAGCTATGAGTTTGGTTGACTGAATCAATGGAATTGGCCAAAAATAGGGCATAAAGTGGAGGAAATCGCTGATGCGTAAATACCGCTGAGACCACTAACTGCGAGAGCATAATTCTATAAGTTTTCCATCAGATTTCATACTTTTGGTTTCATTACCTTTGGAAAAAGGATTCTCTTATCATTTCATAAGATAATTTTTTTTTTTTTTTGGGGGGGGGGGTATTCTTTGACACGGAGCAAGTTTGCGAGCAGGTGTCACGTCAGTGAAAGGGCAAAAGACTAAAAAATTAAGATTTTATTTCTTTGTAAAGGTTACAGTGTGTAATTTCAGTTTTGGTTTAAGTACAAAGAAAGCCACTATCATGCCGGGGCATTTCAGGCAGACTAATCCTAGTACATAATTGCTTACATTTAGACAAGATAAGAGTGGTTAGCTTTTTAATAAATTTAATCTTAATACTAATGTGAGGTAGTCATGGTGGAGGTGTATAAGAATAATAATCTTGAAGTTGCACATAAAAACAGAATTACAATTAAAGTTCAAATGGTAATATTTCGTGGATTGGCAGATGTTTAATAGACTAGAGGTCATATAATATAATATTTGAGAGTTGCTTCAAACTGATCAAAAGTTGTTTTGGTTGGTTTGGTTAGTATTGAGAGACGAGATGATTTTTAAGCATAGTCTTAAATTTATTTGTAGTCAGGGGATCCTTTACTGGTTCAGGTAGTGAATTCCAGATCTTCAGGCTCTTTATGTGCATTGCATTTTTGCATAGTGTGAGACTGACACAAAGGAAGTTGAAGAGTGCCTTGTGCTTTGTTGTGATTGTGTGTTCTGTTGTAGCTATCAAGGAGAAGTTTAAGTGGGGGGTTTAGATTGGAGTTTAATGTTCTGTATATGTAGTAGGCACAATAATATGAGTGTATGTCTCGTATATTTAGTAGGTTCAGGCTTTTTTAAAGTGGTGGGAGTGCTGTCTGGCACAGGAGCTGGTAATCATCTGCACAGCAGCTTTTTGTTGGGTAATTAAAAGTTTAAGATGGTTGGCTGTGGTTGATCCCCAGGCACAAATACCATAGGTGAGGTAGAGATATATTGAAGAGTGGTATAGGGTAAGGAGTGTCGTTTGGGGTACATAGTATTGTATCTTGGAAAGGATGCCTGCTGATTTGGAAAGCTTCTTGGATATATGCTGGATGTGGGAATAAAATTTTAGATTACAGCCAAGGAGTTAACCAAGAGTTAACCAATTTGTACTTATTTGCAGGGTATTTTAAAGGTAGCATGAGGTGGTTAGCTGTTGGATTATTGGTGAAAAAGTGGCCAATACTTTTAACCCATAAACGGTCCAAGCAGATCTACGTTCACATGCGTAGTGCTCCAAAAGTAGATCTACATTTTTTTACATATTTTCAAATATATATATAAAAAAAAGTAGATCAAAGTTTTTTACACGTTTTCAAATGTACCAAAAAAAAAAAATATCTACTTTTTTTACATGCTTTCAAATGTTGAAAAAAACATATACGTTTGGACCGTTTACGGGTTAAAATATTACTGTAATAGTTAAATTAACATTCTTCTTCACCATTGTTAGTTACTCACATACACTCACACTAATATGGAACCCTCACCAGAGGAAGCATATTAAGAAACTGGAGAAAATGCAGAAGCATGCAACAAGGCGTGTTCCTGAGTTAAGAGGTATGAGTTATGAGGAGAGGCTGATGGAATTGAATCTACAACATTGGGGAATAGAAGAACCAAGGGAGATGTGATAATAGCATACAAAATACTCGATCACTAGCTCACTCAGCTCACACACTGAGGTCCGGAGATTGAATCTCCTCTGGTACGGCTGGAAAACATTAGGAACATGTTTCCATAAGACTGCTCTCCATGTTCACCCTTCAGTGAAATGGGTACCTGGTTGTTAGTTGACTGGTGTGGGTTGCATCTTGGGACAAAATTGACCTAATTTGCCCGAAATGCTTAGCATAACAAGCGGCTTTCTATGTAGTATGTCATTGATGTCAGCTAGGCTTGTGCATGTACTTGTAGTAAATAAATAAAGATAGGGTAGACAGGAACAGACTATTTAAGGGGTGAGAAATGAGAACTCAGAGACAGCTGGGAGTTACATAGATGAGCTACAGGGATGGCAGGAAGTATTTCTTCAGTCTCAGGGTGATTGGAAAGTGGAATGATCTTGAAAGTGGTAGAAGCAGGCTCAACACACAACTGTAAGATCAGGTACAATAATACAGATATCAGTCAGTTTCGTCTAATAATGGAGAGAGGTTGTTATTCAAATTTTGAACTATAATTTTAGGTAGTATTCATTTTTCAGTTATTACAAATATATAAATTTTTTAATTTTCAATATGTTTTTAAGGCTTTAAATAAGCAGTATTATGTGAGAGTTGGATATTTGTTTCAATTTTTTTTTTCTTTCTTTTTTTTTTCAACAAGTCGGCCGTCTCCCACCGAGACAGGGTGACCCAAAAAAGAAAGAAAATCCCCAAAAAACAAAATATTTTCATCATCATTCAACACTTTCACCACACTCACACATTATGACTGTTTTTGCAGAGGTGCTCAGAATACAACAGTTTAGAAGCATATACATATAAAGATACACAACATATCCCTCCAAACTGCCAAAATCCCGAACCCCTCCTTTAAAGTGCAGGCATTGTACTTCCCATTTCCAGGACTCAAGTCCGACTATATGAAAATAACCGGTTTCCCTGAATCCCTTCACTAAATATTACCCTGCTCACACTCCAACAGATCGTCAGGTCCCAACTACCATTCGTTTCCATTCACTCCTATCTAACACGCTCACACACGCTTGCTGGAAGTCCAAACCCCTCGCCCACAAAACCTCCTTTACACCCTCCCTCCAACCCTTTCGAGGACGACCCCTACCCCGCCTTCCTTCCCCTATAGATTTATATGCTTTCTTTGTCATTCTACTTTGATCCATTCTCTCTAAATGACCAAACCACCTCAACAACCCCTCTTCTGCCCTCTGACTAATACTTTTATTAACTCCACACCTTTTCCTAATTTCCACACTCCGAATTTTCTGCATAATATTTACACCACACATTGCCCTTAGACAGGACATCTCCACTGCCTCCAACCGTCTCCTCGCTGCTGCATTTACCACCCAAGCTTCACATCCATATAAGAGTGTTGGTATGTTTAATATAAATGGACAATATTCAGAAATTTATTTCCATAATTTTTTTTTATTGTCTTCATCAGATTATTAAATACATAGATATTCAGAAATTTATTGTTTTCATTATTTTTTTCAATTTGTAAGCCTTGTAGGGGTGCCCATACTTAGAATGGGCAGTGTCTTTTGCATCCCGGAGAGATTAAGTTGTTTAATATTAACCCTTTGACTGTCGCAGCCCCCAATCCTGAGGTGTCTCCTGGTGTCGCAAAATATTTGAAAAAAAAAAAAAAATTTCTTATGAAATGATAGAGAATATTTTCCCAATGGTAATGACACCGAAAGTATGAAATTTGATGGAAAACTTATGGAATTACGCTCTCACGAAGTTAACGACCTCAGCGATATTTACGAAATGGCTATTTCACCCACGTTGAGCCCTATTTTTGGCTAATGCCATTATTCCAGCCAACCAAACTCATATCCACTTCTTTAGAACTCCATTTGTTCTATTGATTGAGTACAAGAAATTGCCCATTTACCGATTTCAACTACCCAATAAAGTGATCAGAAATTGGCAATTTGGCCAGTTTCATGCAAATTCAAAAACATGCCAATTTCAAAGAAGGGTCCAGAATGAACAAAGCAGACATTCCTGGCTCTAAAATAACATTTTCTTTGTTCATCAGTTATGTTTCGCCCCTCTAATATTGCTCTTGCTTTCTATTTTGAATTTTTATTCAAACAAAAATGGAAGATTTACTGTTATGCAGACTACTGCAATATTGTAATAATTGTATAAATAATGTCAACCCATTCATGACTGCATATTAGAATGGCTAGTTGGACATTACTCACGAAATCGTAATGACATGATTGCAAACACACTATACCACGGCGGGGATAGAACCCTCGATCAGAGAGTCTCAAAACTCTAGACCGTTGCGTTAGCCACTGGGCCAGCTAGCCCAGTGGCCCAGTGGCTAACATGATGGTCTAGAGTTTCAAGACTCTCTGATCGCGGGTTCTATCCCCATCCCTGGTATGGTTTAGTTGGACATTTATTGGACAATGTCGTCATTTGTTTACTCTTAAACATTGGCAAAAATCAAACATTTCCCCTACTTTGAACTCCATTCCAAGGTCCTTTTCATAGAAAAACCAATCAAAATCATCTCTAATTTTGTAATATGTTTTCCATTCTATCAAATGAGACCAAGAAAACAAGAATACAACCATAAATACTATACGAAAATACACTTCATAGTCAGCGCTTTAATCCAAAAACACGATTGGAGTTTTTTTTCTCATACACTGCGTGCTGCAGGATTTTTTTTATACAGTGCACACTGACCACACAGACCCATTCTCTCACATGTGGGCCTACCAGCTTTCTCCCGCTTGCTTGGAAGCCATTAGAATTTTTGTGTGCTGTATATATACGTCACTAGGTAGTAGGTTGGTAGACAGCAACCGTCCAGGGAGGTACTACCGTCCTGCCAAGTGAGTGTAAAACGAAAGCCTGTAATTGTTTTACATGATGGTAGGATTGCTGGTGTCCTTTTTTCTGTCTCATGAACATGCAAGATTTCAGGTACATCTTGTTACTTCTACTTACACTTCCTTCACACTACACATACATGCACAAGCACATACATGTATATACACACCCCTCTGGGTTTTCTTCTATTTTCTTTCTAGTTCTTATTCTTGTTTATTTCTTCTTATCTCCATGGGGAAGTGGAACAGAATTCTTCTTCCGTAAGCCATGCGTGTTGTGAGAGGCTACTAAAATGCCAGGAGCAAGGGGCTAGTAACCTTTTCTCCTGTATATATTACTAAATGTAAAAGGAGAAACTTTCTTTTTTCCTTTTGGGCCACCCCACCTCGGTGGGATATGGCCAGTGTGTTGAAAGAAAGATATATACGTCAAACACATTGGCTCGTAACATGTATACATACAACCGAAACAGTCAAAGGGTTAAACATTCCTGGGTTATTTAATATTTTTGGATCAATAAGCATTCCCTTATTATAGTTCTCATAATTTTAAAAATAAAAAATGTTGAAAAAGTATTAGTATTGGTATCAGCCTAAAATTGAGTGTCGGTAAAAAAAAAAGAAAAAAAGCTATCATCCCATCTCTGACTGCTAGTATAATGTGCTTTGTTGTGGTTAAAGATATGTGTACCGACTCTTTGTAACAGTATAGTTAATTTACAGTCTCACGTTTGGCTTGATTGGGCAGGAGGTCCTATTAAGAAATAATAGCAGTGATAATAATGACAAGAAAAATTAGTGGTTCCATAGTGAGAAATTATTAAGAGAAGCATAAATATTGACATACTGTGGGGGATGGGGGTCAATTAATATTGCATTACTTAAGCTCCATCTAGTTTTAGTTGAAATGTATTGAAATATTATTGATACAGTACTCATTTTAAAAGAAATGTGTTTCTTCTAGGGAGGCTTAACTCACCCCAATTCAACTCTGAGGTGTGCATCAGGTGAAGCCATTGGTCGCATTGCTCAGGTTGTGGGTGACCCACGTTTTGTGGCAGAGATGGCTCAGAACAGTTTTGATAAACTTAAGAGTGCACGTGACGCTGTAAGTCGGACTGGTCATTCCTTGGCATTAGGATGTTTACATCGCTATGTTGGAGGAATGGGTTCAGGCCAGCACCTCAGTACATCTATCAGTATTCTTCTGGCACTTGCAAAGGACTCTACTTCTCCTGTGGTACAGGTAAAAAACATTTAGCATATTTTGGTTTTATTGGATAATTTGAATATAAATATTCAGTTAAACATTTTAGGCACCTCTAGTTAAAACTTTCTGCATGTTCTTCCTCTGTACAATGTGTTTTTTTTTTTTTTTTTAACAAGTCGGCCGTCTCCCACCAAGGCAGGGTGACCCAAAGAGAACAAAAATCCCCACAAAGAAAATACTTTCATCATCATTCAACACTTTCACTGCACTCACACATAATCACTGTTTTTGCAGAGATGCTCATAATACAACAGTTTAGAAGCATATATGTATAAAGATACACAACATATACCTCCAAACTGCCAATATCCCAAACCCCTCCTTTAAAGTGCAGGCATTGTACTTCCCATTTCCAGGACTCAACTCCAGCTATATAAAAATAACCGGTTTCCCTGAATCCCTTCACTAAATATTACCCTGCTCACACTCCAACAGCTCGTTAGGTCTCAAATACCATTTGATTCCATTCATTCCTATTTAACACGCTCATGCACTCTTGCTGAAAGTCCAAGCCCCTCATCCACAAAACCTCCTTTACCCACTCCCTCCAACCTTTTCAAGGATGACCCCCCACCCCGCCTTCCTTTCCCTACAGCTTTATATGCTCTCCATGTCATTCTACTTTGATCCATTCTCTAAATGGCCAAACCACCTCAACAGCCCCTCTTCAGCCCTCTGACTAATACTTTTATTAACTCCACACCTTCTCCTAATTTCCACACTCCGAATTTTCTGCATAATATTTACACCATTGCCCTTAGACAGGACATCTCCACTGCCTCCAACCGTCTCCTCACTGCAGCATTTACAACCCAAGCTTCACACCCATATAAGAGTGTTGGTATTACTATACATTCATACATTCCCGTCTGTGCCTCCATAGATAACGTTTTTTTGTCTCCACATATACCTCAACGCACCACTCACCTTTTTTCCTTCATCAATTCTATGATTAACCTCATCCTTCATAAATCCATCCGCTGACACGTCAACTCCCAAATGTCTGAAAACATTCACTTCTTCCGTACTCCTCTCCAATTTGATATCCAATTTTTCTTTATCTAAATCATTTGATACCCTCGTCACCTTACTCTTTTCTATGTTCACTTTCAACTTTCTACTTTTACTCCCAAACTTGTCCACTAACCTTTGCAGTTTTTCTTTAGAATTTCCCATCAGGAAAAAGTAACTGTGTCAATTCCCATTTTGCATTTGGTTCTCCATAATTCAATCTCACCCTTCTCCCAAACATCCTAGTAGTACAGTGGACCCTCGACCAATCGATGGCATCGTCTAACGTTAAATCCGACTAGCGATACATCTTAATGCAAAAATTTTGCCTCGACTAGCACTAAAAAACTCGACCAACACGATTCGTTCCGTCTGAGACGCGTCCACTTGTGGCCAATGTTTACAAGCCAGCCAGCCACCGCGGTCCCATCCAAACATACAATCGGAACATTCATATTATCACAGCGTTTTTAGTGATTGCACCTGCAAAATAAGTCACCATGGGCCCCAAGAAAGCTTCTAGTGCCAACCCTACAGCAAAAAGGGTGAGAATTACTATGGATATGAAGAAAGAGATCATTGCTAAGTATGAAAGTGGAGTGTGTGTCTCCGAGTTGGCCAGGTTGTACACAAAACCCCAATCAACCACCGCTATTTTGTGGCCAAGAAAACGGCAATCAAGGAAGCTGTTCTTGCCAAAGGTGCAACTATGTTTTTGAAACTGAGATCGCAAGTGATAGAAGATGTTGAGAGACTGTTATTGGTGTGGATAAACGAAAAACAGATAGCAGGAGATAGCATCTCTCAAGCAATCATATGCGAAAAGGCTAGGAAGTTGCATGAGGATTTAATTAGAAAAATGCCTGCAACTAGTGGTGATGTGAGTGAGTTTAAGACCAGCAAAGGTTGGTTTGAGAGATTTAAGAATCGTAGTGGCATACATAGTGTGATAAGGCACGGTGAGGCTGCCAGTTTGGACCAAAAAGCAGCTGAAAAATATGTGCAGGAATTCAAGGAGTACATAGACAGTGAAGAATTGAAACCTGAACAAGTGTTTAATTGTGACACTGACAATGTTGTGAAACACTTTAGGAATGTCATAAAGGAACGGGAGGTACAGGCCTCTATGGACAGATATGTTGTGCGACAGAGGTCCAGTGACTCTCAAGCTGGTCCTAGTGGCATTAAAAGAAGAAGGGAAGTAACCCCAGAAAAGGACTTGACACCTCAAGTCCTAATGGAAGGGGATTCCCCTTCTAAACAATAACTTCTACACACTCCCCTCCTCCCATCCCATCAGTCATCATCAGATCTTCAATAAAGGTAAGTGTCATGTAATTGCACATGTCTTCTTCAGTTTGTGTGTATTAAAATTAATATTTCATGTGGTAAAATTTTTTTTTTCGATACTTTTGGGTGTCTTGCACGGATTAGTTTGATTTCCACTATTAAGACCTACTTTTACCGGGAAGTAGTCTCCCTCTCTTCTACATGCCCTAACCTGAGCCTCAATATCCTCATAATAACTCTTTACAGCATTTAGTAACTTACTACCTATTCCATATACAGTACTTGCAACATCTGTCGCATTGCTCCTCTATCCACTCTACATATAATTTTTCTAAATCCATTAATGCAATGGAAACTTCCCTACCTTTATCTAAATACTGTTTACATATATGCTTCAATGTAAACACTTAATCTACACATCCCCTACCCACTCTAAGATCTCTTTGCTCATCCGCAATCCTACATTCTGTCTTACCTCTGATTCTTTCAATAATAACCCTACTGTACACTTTTCCGGTTTACTCAGTAAACTAATTCCTCTATAATTTTTACATTTTCTCTTGTCCCCCTTCCCTTTATATAAAGGAATTGTACATGCTCTCTGTGAATCCCAAGGTACCTTCCCCTCTTTCACACATTTATTAAACAAAAATACCAACCACTCCAACACTATGTCCTCCCCCCCTGCTTTTAACATTTCTGTCATGATGCCGTCAGTTTCAGCTGCTTTACCCCCTTTCATTCTACGTAATGCCTCATGCACCTCCCCCACACTCACATCCTGCTCTTCTTCACTCCTAAAAGATTGTATACCTCCCTGGCCAATGCATGAAATTACTTCCTCCATTTCTTCGTCAACATTTAAAAGTTCCTCAAAATATTCCCGCCATCTCCCCATCTGCTAACTCCTCTACTCTGTTTTTAACTGACAAATCCATTCGTTCCCTAGGCTTTCTTAGCTTGTTTAACTCACTCCAGAATGTTTTTTTATTTTCATTAAAATTTCTTGACAGTGCCTCTCCCACTCTATCATCTGCTCCCCTTTTGCACTCTCTCACCACTCTCTTCTCCTTTCTTTTACTATCCATATACAGTGGACCCTCGGCTAACGATGGCACCAGCTAACGTTAAATCCAGCTAACAATACATTTTAACGCAAAATTTTTGCCTCAGCCAACGTTAAAAAAAACGCCCAATGCAGCTCGTTCAAGACGTGTCCACCTATGGCCTGAGTGTGCCTCAGTTGTCCCGTGGGTGCCAGTGTTTACAAGCCAGCCAGTGCAGTCGCATCCACGCGTACAATCGGAACATTTCATATTATCACAGCGTTTTTAGTGATTGTTCCTGCAAAATAAGCCACCATTGCCCGCAAGAAAGCTTCTAGTGCCAACCGTGCAGTAAAAAAGGTGAAAATTACTATGGAAATGAAGAAAGAGATAATTGCTAAGTACGAAAGTGGAGTGAGTGTCTCAGAGCTGGCCAGGTTATCGCTACTATTGTGGCCAACAAAACGTCAATCAAGGAAGCTGTTCTTGCAAAAGGTGCAAGTTTGTTTTCGAAACAGAGATTGCAAGTACTTGAAGATGTTGAGAGACTGTTATTGGTGTGGATAAACGAAAAACAGATAGCAGGAGATACCATCTCTCAAGCGATCGTATATAAAAAGGGTGGTAAATACATACTCTCGTACCACGGTCAGCTACTGCTACACCACCGTCAGCTGTTGCTGCACCACAGTCAGCTGCTGCTGCACCATGGTCAGCTGCTGCTGAACCATGGTCAGCTGTTGCTGCACCAGTCAGCTGTTGCTGAACCATGGTCAGCTGCTGTTGCACCACAGCCAGCTGCTGCTACACCACCGTCAGGTGTTGCTGAACCACGGTGAGCTGCTGCTGCACCACGGTGAGCTGCTGCTGCACCACGGTGAGCTGCTGCTGCACCACGGTGAGCTGCTGCTGCACCACGGTGAGCTGCTGCTACACCACCGTCAGCTGTTGCTGCACCACAGTTAGCTGTTGCTGCACCATGGTCAGCTGCTGCTGCACCACGGTCAGCTGCTGTTGCACCACGGTCAGCTGCTGCTGCACCACAGTCAGCTGCTGCTACACCACCGTCAGCTGTTGCTGCACCACCGTCAGCTGTTGTTGCACCACGGTCAGCTGCTGCTGCACCAGTCAGCTGTTACTGAACCAATGTGAGCTGCTGCTGCACCACGGTGAGCTGCTGCTGCACCACAGTCAGCTGCTGCTACACCACGGTCAGCTGTTGCTGCACCAGTCAGCTGTTGCTGAACCACGGTCGGCTGCTGTTGCACCACGGTCAGCTGCTGCTACACCACCATCAGCTGTTGCTGCACCACGGTCAGCTGCTGCTGCACCATGGTCAGCTGCTGCTGCACCACCATCAACTGTTTCTGACCAACATGACCCATCATGACCTGTCCATCCAGCCCTGCCGTCATTGTTTACAAGCCAGGGTGGCCGGTTGCATGCATACATTCAATACATTTTGTATTATTCCATTATTTATAGTGCTTGTAACTGCTAAATAAGCCACCATTGGCCCAAAGAAAGCTTCTAGTGCCAACCCTGTGGTAAAATGGGTGAGAAATATGTACTATCATACCACGGTCAGCTGCTGCTGCACCACCGTCAGCTGTTGCTGCACCACCGTCGGCTGTTGCTGCACCACAGTCGGCTGTTGCTGCACCACAGTCGGCTGTTGCTGCACCACAGTCGGCTGTTGCTGCACCACAGTCGGCTGTTGCTGCACCACAGTCGGCTGTTGCTGCACCACAGTCGGCTGTTGCTGCACCACAGTCGGCTGTTGCATGCACCACAGTCGGCTGTTGCTGCACCACAGTCGGCTGTTGCTGCACCACAGTCGGCTGTTGCTGCACCACGTCGGCTGTTGCTGCACCACAGTCGCTGTTGCTGCACCACATCGGCTGTTGCTGCACCACAGTCGGCTGTTTGCTGCACCACAGTCGGCTGGTTGCTGCACCACAGTCGGCTGTTGCTGCACCACAGTCAGCTGTTGCTGCACCACGGTCGGCTGTTGCTGCACCATGGTCAGCTGTTGCTGCACCAGTCAGCTGTTGCTGCACCACAGTCAGCTGTTGCTGCACCACAGTCAGCTGTTGCTGCACCAGTCAGCTGCTGCTTGCACCACGGTCAGCTGCTGCTGCACCACAGTCAGCTGCTGCTGCACCACGGTCAGCTGCTGCTGCACCACGGTCAGCTGCTGCTGCACCACGGTCAGCTGCTGCTGCACCACGGTCAGCTGCTGCTGCACCACAGTCAGCTGCTGCTGCACCACAGTCAGCTGCTGTTGCACCACAGTCAGCTGCTGCTGCACCACAGTCAGCTGCTGCTACACCACGGTCAGCTGCTGCTGCACCACGGTCAGCTGGTCCTAGTGGCATTAAAAGAAGAAGGGAAGTAACCCCGGAAAAGAACGTGCTACCTAAAGTCCTAGTGGAAGGGGAATTCCCTTCTAAACATTAACAACTTCCATACTCTCCCCTCCTCCCATCCCATCAATCATCACCAGATCTTCAATAAAGGTAAGTGTCAGTTTGTGTGTATTAAAATTAATATTTCATGTGGTAAAATTTTTTTTTTCATACTTTGTCTTGCATGGATTAATTTGATTTCCATTATTTCTTATGGGGAAAATTAATTCAGCTAACGATGAGCTTTCAGGAATGGATTAATATCGTTAGCTGAGGGTCCACTGTACTCTACTCTTCGTATAACACTTCTGCTTTGTAAAAACCTCTCATAAGCTACTTTTTCTCTTTTATCACACCCTTTTCTTTATCGTTCCACCAGTCACTCTTCTTTCCTCCTGCGCGCACCCTCTTATAACTACAAACACCTGCCCCACATTCTAATACTGCATTTTTAAAGCTATTCTAACCATCTTCAACCCCCCTCCCCCACTACTCATACTTGCACTAGCCCACTTTTCTGCCAATACAGTAGGGCCCCACTTATACGGCGGGTTAGGTTCCCGGCTGTCGCCAGAAAGCAAACATCGCCGGAAGGCAGAACTCCATTTTTTCCATTTATAAATGCATATAAATGCGAGACAACAAGTTTACACTAAATTATATTAAGTTAGTAATAGAACTAGGCATTAAAAACACACAAAGTAAAATACAGTCACAGTAAATTCATTACTTATCTTAAAGTATTTGTAATCTTAATGTAGGGAGAGAGGTGAGTAGTACTTATTTGTAGGAAGTCAGGTGCAGGTAGCCCAGGTGTAGGTAGCACTGGCTCCCCGTCTCATACTTAATATACGATATTTAAAACATCCCAGAGGTAAAATGCACATACAGTACACTCATTATTTACCTTAAAATATGTGTAGTCTTAATATAGGAAGAGAGGTGAGTAGTATTTATTTGTATAAAGTCAGTGTAGGTAGCCGGTAGGTGTAGCCTGGGCTACACCTGCCGGCTACCTTCACTGTGGCCCAGAGCCATATTATTAACATCGACATGCCTTGTTCACTGAATTTAATCATTTCTAACAACTACCTTTAGATGCCATCATAAATGAAGGTAGAAGTAATGAATAATTCATGCCAAAAATATGAAACAAAAGCGGAGTGGGGGAGTGGCTGGGCCAAACGCAGATTCATACACGTTTTCTCTGATGGCTGAACAGAGAAAACGTAATGTTGTCCCTCCACCCGGCTCCACAAGTATTATTATCACAGCATATAAAATATGCAATAAATGCCAGACAACAAGTTTACACTAGCTTATATTAAGTTAGCAATAGAAATAGGCATTAAAAACACAATAAAAGGTAAGATACACACAGAGTACACTTATTACTTACCTTAAAATATAAATGTTAATGTGTGAGAGGTGAGTGGCATGGTGTTTATTGAATAAAATCAAAATGACACACCATCATCCTCTAACTTGGCAATTAAAGCAAGAGGCTTACAACTTCTCTTTTTATTACAGCTAACCTTAGACGCTATCGTCAGTGAGAGCCAACTAGTTAACGAAAGAGTAAACGAGAGAGAGAACGAGATAGAGTTGAGACAATGTAAGAACACAAACTGAACAGGTAGTGGATGATCACTTGGTCAGGTGAAATGCGTATTAATATGTGTCTACTTTTAGTTCATTCACGTCCATCTGTAAGAGTTTGTAAAACATTTACCTCAATATTTTTTTATTTTAATAATAATTACCTCACAATACAAATACTCTTACATTGTGTACAAGTTGTACAAGTTAGTTCAGAATAAACAAACAGCAACACACCATTTTTAGAGTGAATGAAGATAATAATATTAATAATATTATTATTATTATTAATATTAATAATAATATTATTATTAATAATAATAATAATAATTATTATTATTTATTATAAAAAGCACTAAACCCACAAGGGTCGTGAATTGCTATACATAGAGCAAAGGCATACGAAAAGAATATTTTTCTACAGTTACCCCCCAGTGTTTGACTAGAGAAAACGTAATTCTTCCGACACTACCTACACAGCTGCTTTGTAAACAAATCTCATATTTGCATCAATTTTTATTCTGAGTGTATGTATCATGTTTATATGCTATGTAATGGGTTTCATATATAATTTTGAGGAAAATATCATAGATGTATTAATGAAAATGCCTATATTGATGTAAAATAAGAATTTAGTGTGCCCAAGAGTGATTATTATTATGTAGTATTGGCGTCATGAGTGGAGAGAGACTTAGCGATTTTAATGTGTACCTGCACACCAGCACAGTGTGTAAGTATATTTAAGTACAGGTACACATAAGTATAATTATCAGAGTACATATAAAATATGCAGTAACTTTAAAACACTTGAAATTTTGGAAAGTTTCTTGACATAATAGATGTGGTCATGGAAATTGTAAACAAACTGGGTGGGGGGCGCCGTATTTAAAAGACCGCTTGCCGTATAGCAAATTTTGGTCATAATTTGACATCGCCGTATTAGCGGAACGCTGTAAGGTGAAACGCCGTAAAACAGGGCCTTACTGTAGTTGCTTATATCTCACCCGAACTTCCTCCTCCCTTAGTTAATACACTTTCACCTCTCTCTTACTTGTTGTTGCCATTTCCCACTTGTCCCATCTACCTCTTACTCTAACTGTAGCTACAACTGAATAATGATTCGATATATCAGTTACCCCTCTATAAACATGTACATCCTGGAGCCTACCCATCAACCTTTTATCCACCAATACATAATCTAACAAACTACTGCTTTCATTATGTGCTATATCATACCTTGCATATTTATTTATCCTCTTTTTCATAAAATATGTATTACTTATTACCAAACCTCTTTCTACACATAGCTCAATTAAAGGCTTCCCATTTTCACTTACCCCTGACACCCCAAATTTACCTACTACTCCCTCCACAACATTTTTACCCACTTTAGCATTGAAATCCCCAACCACAGGTACTCTCACACTTGGTTCAAAACTCTCCATGCATTCACTCAACATTTCCCAGAATCTCTCTCTCTCCTCTACACTTCTCTCTTCTCTAGATGCATATATGCTGACTATAACCCACTTTTCACATCCAACCTTTGTTTTACTCCACATAATCCTTGAATTAATACATTTGTACTCTTTTCCTTCTATAGCTTATCCTCCATCATTATTGCTACTCCTTCTTTAGCTCTAATTCTATTTGAAACCCCTGACCTAATCCCATTTATTTCTCTCCACTGAAACTCTCCCACCCCCTTTAGCTTTGTTTCACTTAAAGCCAGGACATCCAGCTTCTTCTCATTCATAACATCTACAGTCATCCTTTTATTATCATTCGCACAACATCTACGCACATTCAAGGATCCCACTTGGACAATTTTCTTCTTAATCTTTTTAGTAATCATTACAGGAAAAGGGGTTACTAGCCCATTGTTCCCGGCATTTTAGTTGACTTTTACAACACGCATGGCTTACTGTGGAAAGATTCTTGTTCCACTTCCCCATGGATATAAAAGGAAAAGTAATAAGAACAAGAACTATTAAGATAAAATCAAAGAAAACTCAGATGAGTATATGTAAATAAACATGTACAAGATCAGAAAATTGTAGGACCAAGTGCTGCTATCATATTAATTTTTACTTGTGTAATTTTCTGTTTTGACAGGTTTGGGCTCTTCATGCACTCTCTCTTATTGCTGATTCTGGAGGGCCAATGTTCCGCTCTTATGTTGAGCCTTCACTGGCCTTGCTTCTGGAACTTCTGTTGTCTGTTCCTCCTTACACAGCTGAGGTTCATCAGTGTATTGGAAAGTGTCTTCAGGCTCTTATTACTACTGTTGGTCCAGAGTTGCAAGGCAAGTCACCTGTCTGTATATTGTTTCTCTCCATGTCTTAACTAACTTTAGTCCATATTGTATAAACTCCAGGACAGAGTCTTTAGATTATGGATATCTTGAATATATCTTTAGTTTTAATATAATACATCACTTTCATAGCAAATGCTTATTAATACAGAGTCAAAATTTTATTATTAGGGCTGTCCATTAATGTCTTTATTAAAAATTGTGCCTTTGTTTGAAAGGTTAATTGCCAGAACTGCCAGTCTTCAGTGTTTCTAATAGCCACAGGCACAATAAATATATTAAACATTTTAATTTACTCCATGGGGAGGTGGAGAAGAATCCTTCCTCTGTAAACCATGAGTGTTGTAAGTGGTGACTAAAATGTCAGGAGCAAGGGGCTAGTAACCCCTTCTCCTGTATAGATAACTAAATGTAAAAAGAGGAGACTTTGTTTCTTCTTTTTCAAGTCACCCTGCCTCAGTGGGAGATGACTGCTGTTATAAAAAAAATTTACTTCACAGAAATAGATATTGCTGCACTGTTTAATACTGGTTAGAATTATGCTTGTCATAGCTTTCTGGGCATATGTTTTGTGCATTGAGCGCTAATTGATACATTGCACATCGAGAGCTGGTAACCAGAAATTCACATGATTTTTTACTTGACTCACAGTGTGATCTGTCTCCAAAATATCCATCTGTCATATTTTTCAGTTACTGTATATTGAGCACTTGACTTATTTGAGAACTGTCTTCAATTATTTATTGAAAAATACAATATGGCATATTTTTATACTGCTAAAGAAATATTAAGAATATGTTAAAAAAAAAATTGTTTTAGACTTGAAGTAAAATACAGTATATAAACATTAGATGAGAGATGCTGTGTTGACATTGAAGTTAACTAGCTATTGGTGCTGAACTGCACACATACACAGACATTCATTTGAAGTTTGATTGTTTCAGTACAGTATAACATAGATTTTATAGAGAGTTTTGCTCAGGAATTTGTTGATTACTCTCTTAGGTACAAACAGCAGTGTTGTTATGGTGAGATGGTCTCTCCTTTGTGGATGTGGGCTAGTGCAAGAACACCCTGATCCATTAGTACAAGCTGAAGCTATAGCATGTCTGCAGCAGATGCACATGTTTGCACCCAGACATGTCAATCTCTCCTCTCTTGTCCCCATGCTTGTGGTGAGCTGTCATTGTTAATTGCTTTAGTTGCATATCATACACTCTTGGGCATTTTTTATTTACACCTTATAAAAAGTTTCTGGGAAATAATTATATTTATAGGTTATGTCAAAATAAGTATTCAGTGTAATGTATTCCAGCAACAGCTCCAAAAGTTTTATTTAGGAAGGGCTTAGGGGTTGCAGTCTGGTTAGAAGAGGGAGCTAGGGGACATGTCTTGCAGCATTATTATTTTTATTATTATTATTGTAATTATCATTATCACTATTGTCTTGAAGCATTATCAATCATTATTATCATCATTTATCATCATTAAAGGTTTTGGTTGGTCTGACAGAATTTTGGGGAGCTTCAGCATCACCTTTGCCACCTCTTGGCATCATTACTTCTGTACTCCCATATCTACAGGGATTGTGCTCCATTTAGCATGCAGATGGTGAATTCACAGATATGGAGTGTGTATAGTACATGGTAGGACCCCCGTATCCACTGGGGATAAGTTCCAAGACTTAACATGGATACCTGAAACCGTGGATAGTAGCAAACCCTATGTATAAGTCATTTTTTGTTTACATACATACCTATGATAAAGTTTAATAAATAAGTGTAAAATTAGCACTTGTTCACTGATGAGAAGCATTTCATGGCTTCTCTTAGGCTTTGAAGAACTGCCAGCATCACTAGTTTTGTGCTTTGGGGCCATTATTAAGCTAAATTAAGGGTTATTTTTAGGCCACAGTAAATAGTGGATAACTGAAACCACGGATACCAAATCTGTGGATATTGGGGGATGGGGGTTCTATTGTACTGTATTTTAGGAAGAATACGTAGAATACATTCCAGACCCCCATGACCTTTGTTCTCAGGCATATTATTAGTCTGACTGGGCTATTTTGACCAATAATAGTGCAAAGTAGCCAGCCATCTTAAATATGTAATATAATATGGGATAGCATTCACTTGAGGATAATGTAATATCTTATGTAAGTCATTTTTCCAGCAGCCTAGCTCTTCATAGATCATGACATAATACTTATGCGAGTCATGGATCAGGGAGACCAAGCTTGCAGAAAGCAGCATAATACAGAGACAGTAGATAGTTACAATACCATGGCTGGATCTACACAGATAACCCACATTTAGGAGACTGACACTTATAACATTTTGGTCCAAGTCGGACCAAAATGTCATCCTAAGTTTGTTTCCTAAGTGCAGGTTATTTGTGTACAGTATAATACCATATACAATTTGCCTTATCAGGAGCCCAGCTCGTGGGTAATGATATAATAGCATATGTAAATCAGAGTTTCACAGGCATAGCTGCTGGATTACTGTCAATAGGACATGCTGTAAATCAAAGCTCATGGATAGGCTAATTGGCAGTTTAAAATTTGCAATTACTGAGAATATGGTACTGCACACTTTATAATATTGTAGTATATGTAATACTTGCTAAATATATGTTAGCATTTTGCACATATTGAGGGCTTGGTGGAGAAACACTACATGCGAGTGGCAGTGGGCAGTGCTTGCTGGCCTGTGGTTACCTGTTTGTAGCTACAGGGAAAAAGATGTGTGTGGTGTTCCATATTCACTGTTTAATCTGTTTTAAAGTTTTTTAAATTTTGAGTGCTTGTACTGTAGTATCTCCTGTGTTCTACAACTATTTGTGAAAAACTCTTCAGTATCCTTTCAGCACCAATTTTTTCTTAGTTTGCAACTGTGGCCTCTTGTTTTCTCTCTTGATGGCAGTAAGAACTCTGTCTTGTTTCATTTACTCTAAAGAATTAACAATGTGTAGAGGACAAAAACTGTGCAGTAGTTAATATAGCATTATGTTCAAATGGATAGATTGACTCTGCATTCATCCCACATTATTCTTTTATAACAACAGAAAAAGTTAAGTTGTGATCACCTCCTGTTGCGTCGTGCTGCAGTATCTTGTCTCAGACAGTTATCACAACGTGAAGCCTGGGAAGTGTGTGAGCATGCTTTGAGCCTTGCACAGGGATCTGAAGAACAGGATCAAGGTACTGTATATTATTCTGTTTTAAATAAACATGGTAAAACTGATGTATTATTTTTGTCACATTAGCCATCTTTCACTAAGATAGGGTAACCCAGGGAAGGAAACATATTCACTGTGCTTCATTCAATAGCGTTTTGTCATTATCTCACAAACACCACAGTTCAGTGACTCTCCAAACTGCAACATCCCTATTCATTCTTCAGAGTACAGGCACTATACTTTCCTACATTATAGTTTGCAAAAACAAGTGTAATTTTATATATGTTTGCCTCCATGTAGTTAAAGCATTACAACTATGCTTGTGATGTTTTTCTTCAGTTAGTGTATTTTACATACAGTATTTTTGAAATTTCCTAGGTAGTAGGTTGGTAGACAGCAACCGCCCAGGGAGGTACTACCGTCCTGCCAAGTGAGTGTAAAACGGAAGCCTGTAATTGTTTTGCATGATGGTAGGATTGCTGGTGTCTTTTTATTCTGTCTCATACACATGGAAGATTTCAGGTACATCTTGCTACTTCTACTTACACTTAGGTCACACTACACGTACATGTACAAACATATATATGCGCACCCCTCTGGGTTTTCTTCTATTTTTTTTCTAGTTCTTGTTCTTGTTTATTTCCTCTTACCTCCGTGGGGAAGTGAAACAGAATTCTTCCTCTGTAAGCCATGTGTGTTGTAAGAGGCGACTAAAATGCCGGAAGCAAGGGGCTAGTAACCTCTTCTCCTGTATATATTACTAAACGTAAAAAGAGAAACTTTCGTTTTTCCTTTTGGGCCACCCTGCCTCGGTGGGATACGGCCGGTGTGTTGAAAGAAGAAAAGAATTTTAAAATTTCCTTAGGGTATAGTACATACTTGGCTCATTCCATTTTTATTTAACCTAGGTAGGGTGACCCCCAAAGAGGAAACATTTACCATCATTCATTAAATAGCCATCTTGCAAGAAGTGCAAAGACATCACAGTTCAAGTCACCCTCTGAACTGTAGCCTTCCCTCCTATCCTTCAGAGTACCAGCACTGTACTTCCCACTTCCAGGTTTCTCTGAATCCCTTCATAAATGTTACCTTGCTCTCACTCCAGCAGCATGTTAAGATCCTTCAGACTACTTCTCTTCGTGCTCTTATCTAAGACGCTCTCATTTCTTTGAATACTTCAGCCCCTACTGCTTGAAAGTTATTACACATACTCCTTTCAATCATGAAAAGATCCCTACTCCTTTCCCTTCTCTGATTTATATTCTCTCATGGTCATTCTATTCTGCTTCAGGCTCTAAATGCCCTAACATCTCAACAACCCCTCCTCTGCCTTCTGAATAAACCTATCATAACCTCTCACCATTTATATCTACTCTGCATTCTTTGCATAATGTTCACACCACACATTACACAAAACATCTCCACTGCTTCCCAATATTAATTACAGGCCCCTGTGGCAATTGAAGTATTTGTTCACTTTAAAATTAATCTTAAATACTCAAAATAAGAAATGAAAAATCTGTCTAGATTTCAATGTCTTTTTTATAATTTCATAAATACTGAAAGTTTTCAGTTTTTATGACTTAATTGTCCTTTCTTTTATGCAGGGTTAGCTATGACAGAAACAGGACTTCCAGGCTTGTTGTTTGGTCTTCTAGACACAGAAACAGACTGTGTGCTGGTGCGAAATGTGCATCACACTTTAACATCCATGTTGCAAGCTCTGTCCACTTCGCACCTCAACCTGTGGCTCACTCTATGCCGGGAAGTTCTCACCAGCGCATCAGGTGAATGCTATTTAAAGTTATGTAGCACCTTATAACATTTCCTAAACTCTGTGTGGACAGTTGATTTGCAATTCCAAACAAGTCTTTATTGGTGAAGCTTGAAGAGTTAAACACATGCACAACAACTGGGCATCTTTATTATGTATTTTACCAATCAATGGCTGATTAGTAGAAAATGAGATAATTAGTCCCTCATCCTAGCCATGGGTATTCAGCACTGTAGTCTTGATGAATCCAAGCACAGTCAGGAAGTGTATACCTGGGCTTGGGATGTAGAGGGGAGTGCAGTGGCAAGGATGGTGGGTGCCTGGGATGTTGGAGGGAGGGTTGTAGTGAGAATAGGTATTCCTGAGCAAAGCAGCCACTGTTATTGTTAAAACTTTCATTGTCCAGACCCCTGATCTGAGAATTTTTCTCTGTCCAAGAATTTAAAAAAAAAAGAAAGGAAATGATAGAGAATCTTTTTCCAAAAGTAATGAGACCAAAAGTATGAAATTTGGTGGAAAATTTACAAAATTACGCTTTCACGAATTTTGCTGTGTCAGCGATATTTACGCATCGGTGATTTTGCCTATTTTGAGTCCTGCTTTAGGCCATTTACATTATTCCAGTCAACCAAATTCTTAGCTATTTTGCTAGTATGTCTTCTATTTTATTGGCTGAGCACAAGAAACTGCCCAATCAACTATTTCAACTACCCAGTAGTGAGATCAGAAATTGGGAATTTTTATCCAATTTCACACAAATTTCAAAATATTCCAATTTCAAAATAAGGTCGTCCAAAATAAACAATGCAGGCATTCCTCGCACTAAAATAACATTTCCTCTGCTCATTAGTTACATTGCCAGGCTTTACACATGAATTTCATTTTGAATTTTTATTCACACAAAAATTTAGAAGAATTACTTTATGCAGTATTGTAATACTTGTATAAATAATAATAGTGCATTTGCGAACTCATATTAGACCCACCAGTTGGACGTATATTGGATGAGTGACCTAATTTGTTCACTCTTGAATATTGGCGAAAATTGAACATTTTGGCTAATTTGAGCTCAATTTCTAGCTATTTTCAGTCCTGAAACCATCAAAATCATCTCTATTTCTGTAATATAGCTTCCATTCTATCATATGAGACCAAGAAACCAAGACTACAACACAACCATAAAAAAACATACGAAAATACACCGCAGACAAAAAAAAAATTCAGGGAAACCAGTTTTTATTATATAGCTGGACTTGAGTCCTGGAAATGGGAAGTACAGTTCCTGCACTTTGAAGGAGGGGTTTGGGATATTGGCAGTTTGGAGAGATATGTTGTGTATCTTTATACGTATATGCTTCTAAACTTGTATTCTGAGCACCTCTGCTAAAACAGTGATTATGTGTGAGTAAGGTGAAAGTGTTGAATGATGATGCAAGTACAGTGGAACCCCGCATAACGATATTAATCCGTTCCTGAGAGCTCATTGTTATGCGAAATTATCGTTATGCGAATGAATTTTCCCCATAAGAAATAATGGAAATCAAATTAATCCGTGCAAGACACCCAAAAGTATGAAAAAAAAAATTTTACCACATGAAATATACATTTTCCTACACACAAAGAGAAGGATACATGCACAGTAGTAGAGTAGTACATGCACAGTATATATTGTGCATGTACTACTCTACTAAATGAAGAATAAATGACACTTACCTTTATTGAAGATGCAGCAATGACTGTGTCCTGGAGTGCCTTTTCCTCCTGAGTACTGTAGGTCCTGTTTGGCATTTTCTTCCAGAACAGGCCTTATCACACTGTGTATGCCACTACGATTCTTAAATCTCTCAAACCAACCTTTGCTGGCTTTAAATTCACCAATATGAGCACTAGTTCCAGGCATTTTCCCTGTTCACCTGGGTGTTAGTGGACTGGTGTGGGTTGCATCCTGGGAGACAAGATTAAGGACCCCAAATGGAAATAAGTTAGACAGTCTTCGATGACACTGACTTTTTTGGGTTATCCTAGGGTGGCTAATCCTCTGGGGTTAATTGTTTCTTGGTATTCTCAATAAGCCACACCAACAACGGTGCTACAGCAGCAGCAGCAGCAGCAGCTGGCAGTGCTACAGCAGCAGCAGACGATGCTACAGCAGCAGGAGACGGTACTACAGCAGCAGCAGCAGCTGACGGTGGTACAGCAGCAGCAGCAGCTGACAGTGCTATAGCAGCAGCAGACGATGCTAGAGCAGCAGCAGACGGTACTACAGCAGCAGCAGCAGCTGACGGTGGTACAGCAGCAGCTGACGGTGCTACAGCAGCAGCAGCTGACAGTGCAGCAGCAGCAGCAGCTGACGGTGGTACAGCAGCAGCAGTACGGAGACACGCACTCCACTTTCATACTTATCAATGATCTTTTTCTTCATCTCTATAGTAATTCTCACCCTTATTGCTGTAGGGTTGGCACTAGAAGCTTTCTTGGGGCCCATGGTCACTTATTTTGCAGATAAAATCACCAAAAACACTGTAATAATACGAAATGTTCCGATTGTATGCTTGGATGTTACCGCGGAGGCTGGCTGGTAAACAATGCCACCGGCGGAACATGTGAACATGTGGCTCAGGCCGCACATAGACGCTTCTCGGACGAACAGCGTTGAGCGGGTTTTTTAATGGTATGCGAGGCAAAATCTTAGCAATAAAATGTAGCAGTATGCGGATTTAACGTTATGTAAGGCCAACGGTATGCGGGGGTCCACTGTATTTTCTTTTTGTCGATTTTCTTTATTTTTGAGTCACCCTGCCTCGGTGGGAGATGGCCGACTTAAAAAAAAAAAAAACTTTCCGCATAGACCCATTCTCTCATATCTGGCCAAGATTACTGCTCACAGCTTATCTGAGTGAGCTGAGCTCATGCCATAATACTACAGCACAGCCAATGACCTCAGAGCTGTAGTACTACAGCACAGCCAGTGAAGTGGTTAGAGTATTTCTCTCACATTCTTCAACATTATCCTTCTACTCCAATCACATGATTGCTCCCAAGGTTCACTGTGATTCTTGTGTTATACTGCTTTGTGTGCTAGATACCTGGTCAAATAAAAACTAAACTTTTCTTTCTCATTAATTTTAAACCAATCATGCAAGTCATTATTTTACTCTTATAATTGAATATTTGGTCAACTTGAAAGAAAATCCTGCCCTGAGGTTGATCTACGAAGATAGGAGACCCCTTGAAACTGATGTCATGGTCTCAGGTGTGTCCATGAATTTTTTATTAAAAAAATTTATCTTCTGTTGTGAGGTAAAACTATTTAGCCAAGTTTTACATATGCAGACACAACTGCTCGGTGTTTGGAGAATATTTAGATAGTGACTTTAGAAGGTACAGATGATAGTAGTCTTTTTTAATAACTTTATTAATATTTTATTCTGTTTTGAATATTTCCAGAGAGTGGAACAAATGAAAACTCTGGTGATACAGGTGAAGAGGGGGCTGATGATGATATGGTTCAGATCCACACAGGAGGGGAACCTGACCCTCACCCCAGTATACCTCCTCGCTGGACTACTAGGGTTTTTGCTGCTCAGTGCATTGCTAAAATTATTCAAGAGTGTGAAAATAACCGTGCACACTTTGATTTGGCTCTTGCTAGAGAAATGCAAACAACGAAAATGAAGGGTCAGTACTTTGCATGTAATTTGTAGGAAAAAAGTTATATTCATGTAACTGAAATTAAATTTTTGCAGTTTAATGTGAGAATTATTGCTCTTTATACGTAATGTGATTTTAGTAGAAAAGTGATCTAGCTAGCACCATGAAGATATGAAAGCTTTGAAGAAAATTACAACAAAGTTTACTTTTTCTTTTACATTCAGGAGACTACTTGGTGCTACACTTAAGTGAGGTGGTACGTATGGGCTTCATGGGAGCAACCAGTGACAGTGATGAGTTGCGACTAGAAGGACTACATATCCTGCACCTGGTTATAGACAGATTTGCTCACATTCCAGAACCAGAATTTCCAGGCCATGTGATACTTGAACAATATCAAGCTCAGGTGAAAAAAGTTGATCATTTTCTTACATTATAATTTTTTCCCTTTATAAAAATCATTGAGTTAAATTACCTTTTTAAAAGTTAAATTAACTGTTAGGGATTTAGTATTTATCTATAATATTTCTTAATTTTATTTTGGATATTAACTCTTTCGGTGTCAGTTCCATTATATTACAGCTTTGAAGCCAGTGTTGGTCTTGTACTATGCCATGAGCTCAGCTCACTCAGATAAGCTGTGAGCAGTAAATTTGGGCCTAGATATAAGAGAATGGGTCTATGCTGTAAGTGTGCACCATATAAAATCCTGCAGTTCGCAGTTTATAATAAAAAAAACTGCAAAAGTGTTTTTTGTTTAAAATGGGGAGTTTGTGGTGTATTTTGGTATGGTTTTTATGGTTGTATTCTTGGTTTTTTGGTCTCATATGATAGAATGGAAGATATATTACAGAAATAGAGATGATTTTGATTGTTTAACCCTTAAACTGTCCAAACATAGATCTTCATTGACATGTGTAGCGCTCCGACCTTATTATTTTACATTTGAAGGCATGTAAAAAAAATGTAGATTTTTTTACGGAGCACTACGCACGTGAACGTAGATCTACGTTTGGACAGTTTAACCCTTTCAGGGTCTGTCCCATAGATCTACGGCTTCACGTTGAGTGTCCAAACTGTAGATCTACGCCAAAATTCTAGCGCCGTCAAATTTAGCGCGAAAGCGCTCATGGGTCTACATGTGAGAGAACGGGTCTGCGTGGTGGGTGTGCACCATAAACAAAAAATCTAGGCGCCCGCATAGCATTGTGGGAACGCCGGCTCAGTTACCCTTGTTCACCATGCCTCGTCGCAAGTCAGCTCTCACTCCCCGGAAAATTGGGACTCTCCTCTTCCTATCTGATAGTTCTGACACTGATGGAAGTGGAAATGAAGATGAATTCTACGGCTTTGATCAGTTAGTGACCGAAAAGAATGACCAGGATATCGATAATAGCGCAGAAAACCCTGACGATCCTCAACCTTCTACCTCTGGTGTGGGCACTCGTGACTCACGGTCGGTTGTTCCTCAACGCAAGAGAAAACTAATATTTTCGCGTGGCCAGGCCTCTGACTTAAGTAATGATGATGAGAGTGACGTGGATTGTGATTTTATTGCGCTCGACGATCATTCGAGTAGTGATAGGAATCATATTCACCAGTGAAGCGTCGGTATGTTCGTCGCCGCATGTGCTCGGGTAGTGTACCCTATGCTGTGCCCAGGGGACGGAGTACATCCCGTGGCCCTACACCAGTTTTAGGTAGTGATAGTGAGGATGATGTGGCTACACTTGGCATGGATAGACCACAGGCATCAGTGGATGGTGTTAGTGGTGATGGTAGTGGCACCGCCATGCATGACTCGCCAGCCCAGGGTGGGACCCACGCTGCTGACTCGTCAGTTCAAGGACAAAGCGGAGCGTCAGCCACCAGCCCACCACGACCACAACCACCCGCACAACCAGCCAATGATGTCCAGTATCCACCAGCAAACCGTATGTGGGATTGGCAGCAAAATCCCAATTTTGTTCCCAAGCCTCACCACTTTGATGACTCTCAAAGTGGAATTCTACCTACTTGTCCCCTTGGAACCACGGCCAATGAACTGGAATTCTTTGAATTATTCTTTGACCAGCCATTGATGGAAACTATTGTCAGGGAAAGTAATAAGTATTTTGAGTACACCATGGCAAATACGATCATATCACCACAGTCAAGACTACACAGGTGGAAAGAGATGACTGTTGCAGAAATGTATTTGCTCTTTGCAACAATAATGCTTATGCTTTTTTTTTTTTTTTCAACAAGTCGGCCGTCTCCCACCGAGGCAGGGTGACCCAAAAAAGAAAGAAAATCCCCAAAAAGAAAATACTTTCATCATCATTCAACACTTTCACCACACTCGCACATTATCACTGTTTTTGCAGAGGTGCTCAGAATACAACAGTTTAGAAGCATACACATATAAAGATACACAACATATCCCTCCAAACTGCCAATATCCCAAACCCCTCCTTTAAAGTGCAGGCATTGTACTTCCCATTTCCAGGACTCAAGTCCGACTATATGAAAATAACCGGTTTCCCTGAATCCCTTCACTAAATATTACCCTGCTCACACTCCAACAGATCGTCAGGTCCCAAGTACCATTCGTCTCCATTCACTCCTATCTAACACGCTTACGCACGCTTGCTGGAAGTCCAAGCCCCTTGCCCACAAAACCTCCTTTACCCCCTCTCTCCAACCCTTTCGAGGATGACCCCTACCCCGCCTTCCTTCCCCTATAGATTTATATGCTTTCCATGTCATTCTACTTTGATCCATTCTCTCTAAATGACCAAACCACCTCAACAACCCTCTTCTGCCTCTGACTAAACTTTTATTAACTCCACACTTTTTCGTAATTTCCACACTCCGAATTTTCTGCATAATATTTACACCACACATTGCCCTTAAACAGGACATCTCCACTGCCTCCAACCGTCTCCTCGCTGCTGCATTTACCACCCAAGCTTCACACCCATATAAGAGTGTTGGTACTACTATACTTTCATACATTCCCTTCTTTGCCTCCATAGATAACGTTTTTTGACTCCACATATACCTCAACGCACCACTCACCTTTTTTCCCTCATCAATTCTATGATTAACCTCATCCTTCATAAATCCATCCGCTGACACGTCAACTCCCAAGTACAGTGGACCCCCGGTTAACGATATTTTTTAATTCCAGAAGTATGTTCAGGTGCCAGTACTTACCGAATTTTTTCCCATAAGGAATATTGTGAAGTAGATTAGTCCATTTCAGACCCCCAAACATACACGTACAAACGCACTTACATAAATACACTTACATAATTGGCCGCATTGGGAGGTGATCGTTAAGCGGGGGTCCACTGTATCTGAAAACATTCACTTCTTCCATACTCCTACTCCCCAATTTGATATCCAATTTTTCTTTATCTAAATCATTTGACACCCTCATCACCTTAATCTTTTCTATGTTCACATTCAACTTTCTACCTTTACACACATTCCCAAACTCATCCACTAACCTTTGCAATTTTTCTTTAGAATCTCCCATAAGCACAGTATCATCAGCAAAAAGTAACTGTGTCAATTCCCATTTTGAATTTGATTCCCCAAAATTTAATCCCACCCCTCTCCCGAACACCCTAGCATTTACTTCCTTTACAACCCCTTCTATAAATATATTAAACAACCATGGTGACATTGCACATCCCTGTCTAAGACCTACTTTACCGGAAGTAGTCTCCCTCTCTTCTACACACCCTAACCTGAGCCTCACTATCCTCATAAAAACTCTTTACAGCATTTAATAACTTACCACCTATTCCATATACTTGCAACATCTGCCACATTGCTCCTCTATCCACTCTGTCATATGCCTTTTCTAAATCCATAAATGCAATAAAAACTTCCCTACCTTTATCTAAATACTGTTCACATATATGCTTCAATGTAAACACTTGATCTACACATCCCCTACCCACTCTGAAACCTCCTTGCTCATCCGCAATCTTACATTCTGTCTTACCTCTAATTCTTTCAATTATAACCCTACCGTACACTTTTCCTGGTATACTCAGTAAACTTATTCCTCTATAATTTTTAGTCTCTCTTGTCCCCTTTCCCTTTATATAAAGGGACTATACATGCTCTCCGCCAATCCTTAGGTACCTTCCCCTCTTTCATACATTTATTAAACAAAAGTACCAACCACTCTAACACTATATCCTCCCCTGCTTTTAACATTTCTGTCATGATCCAATCAGTTCCAGCTGCTTTACCCCCTTTCATTCTACATAATGCCTCGTGTACCTCCCCCACACTTATATTCTGCTCTTCTTCACTCCTAAAAGATGGTATACCTCCCTGACCAGTGCATGAAATTACTGCCTCTGTTTCTTCCTTAACATTTAAAAGTTCCTCAAAATATTCTCGCCATCTACCTAATACCTCCATCTCCCCATCTACTAACTCCCCTACTCGGTTTTTAATTGACAAATCCATACTTTCCCTAGGCTTTCTTAACTTGTTTAACTCACTCCAAAAATTTTTCTTATTTTCATTAAAATTTCATTAAAATGCTTATGCCTCATGTCTATAAGCATAATATAAAAGCACAGTGCTCCACAGATCGGCTAATTTCTACCCCGATCTTCAGTGAAATCATACCAGTGAACAGGTTTATCTTTCTATTACGCATGTTGCACTTCTCTGACAAAACCAGGCCTGACAGAAGTGACAGGTTATACAAGATTAGAAATGTTTTCACGTATCTCAAACAAAAGCTCAGCATATTCTTTTATCCATTCAAGAATCTTGTAATTGACGAGTCTGATTTTGTTCAAAGGTAGACTGTCATTCAAGCAGTATATACCGAGCAAGAGGAAACGCTTTGGTATAAAACTGTTTGTACTCTGTGATTGTGACAGTGGCCTGGTGTTGGATATTGTTGTATACACGGGAAGTAAAACATTGAAAGATACCAAGATGTTATTGGGTATCTCAGGTGACATAGTGAGAAACATGATGGCACCGTATCTTGGTAAGGGGCATACATTATATACCGATAACTGGTACACAAGCCCATTACTCAGTGATTTCATGCAAGTGAACAAGACAGATGTGTGTGGCACAGTGCGTTCTAATCATAAACATATGCCCAGGCTCAACGCAGGTGCTCGTGGTGATGACGTGCAGGTGTTTACTGCCAATGACATCATGGCATTACGGTGGCATGACAAACGAGATGTCACATTGTTGACAACCATTCACCATAATGAAATGCAAGACAGTGGCGAAGTTGATTGAGTGACTAATGAACGTATTTGAAAACCAGTGACAGTGATTGATTATACACAAAACATGCGCTTGGTTGACAAATGTGACGTGCAGATTGGTTTTGTTTACTGTCTTCGTAAGAGTTACAAGTGGTACATGAAACTTTTCTTCCATCTCATGGACATTTCAATGCTCAATGCATATAATATGTACCAAATAAAGACTGGCAACAGACCACCGTATGGTGAATTTTGTTTGTCTGTTGTCAGACAACTCATAATGAAGTACCAGGTAAGAACACCTGCTATACAACAAGGTCCTCGAATTACTCAGGATATACCCAAGCGTTTGAGGAGGGAAGGTGATCATTTTATAATACAGCTTCCTTCAACTCAGAAGAAATTTGCTCAGAAGAGATGCATCGTCTGTGCACAAACAAAACAACGGCAACAAAGATGCAAAGACACTCGGTTTGTGTGTGAGGAATGTAAGGTGCCTCTGTGCATGGTGCCTTGTTTCAAGGAGTTCCACAAGCTCCAGCAGTTCTAAAACCATGTCCAGTGATTGTAAATATGTAAATATATGATAGAACATTAGTGTTATACAAGATTTGTGCATGTTTATTGTAAACAACAGTGGTAAACAATAATATAATAACTTTAGTGCGGTTATTGTGTTCAATACAGTGAGTTTATATATATACATTATATACAGTATTGGTCTCTCAGGCCCCAAATGTTAGTAGGAAAAGAAAAAAATTGGAAAAGAAAAGAAAAAACTACAAAAACTGCTGCTAAATAAAGTAATGCGCGTATGTGGAATTCGTCGATGTTGCCGCCACCACGTCATTTTTGACAAACTTCTTGGCACTGTCTCTCGGTAAGTACTGATCAGAATTTTTTTTTTTTGTCTTATTACCTTCACAAAAAAATGCTCTTTAATTCTGTAAGAAAAATAATTTTTTTTTTTTTTTTTTTTTTTTTTTCCAAAATTTCTTGGACACTGGAGCACCACTTCAGATTTTGGCCTTGGACCCTGAAGGGGTTAAGGGTTAAAGACTGAAAGTAGCTTGAAATTGAGCTCAAAGTAGCGGAAATATTCAATTTTTGCCAATATTCCAGAGTACATAATACACATCCAACTGGCCAGTCTAATATGCATTTAGGAATGCAGTGACATTATTTATGCAATTATTATAATAATGCAGTAGTCTCTGTAATAGTAAATCTATTTTTTTTGTGAATAAAAATTCAAAATGGAAAGCAAGCCTTGGAGATACGATTGAGGAACAGAGGACATACTTTTTTTAGTGCCAGGAATGTCTCTGTTGTTTATTCGGGAATTGGCAATTTTTTTATTTTGTGTGAAATTGGCCAAATTACCGATTTCTGATCACTTTATTGGGTAGTTAAAATAGGTAAATGGGCAGTTTCTTGTACTTAGTAGAATAGAAGGAATACTAGCAAAATAGCTATGAGTTTTGGCCAGTTTCATGGTTCCAAAAATAGGGCACAAAGTGGGGAAAGTCTCCGATGCATAAGCACCGCTGAGACCGCTGACTTTACAAGAGTGTAATTCTGTGAGTTTTCCATCAAATTTTGTACTTCTGGTTCATTACCTTTGGAAAAAGATGCTCTGTCATTTCACAAGTATTTTTTTTTTTTAATTTTGCGACCCTGAAAGGGTCAAATAATTAGCCTAGATTTCCTCTTCCTTGTATTTTCTTTCTTTCCTAACTAGAAAATATAAAAAATAGAACCATCTGAAACTTTCATTTTTTTGTTTGTTAGGTGGGTGCTGCATTACGGCCAGCATTTGCTCCAGAAACTGCATCCCATGTGACTGCTCGTGCATGTGAGGTCTGCAGTGCATGGATATGCTCAGGTATTTTCTCAAAATGGGTTTTAACAAATAGTTATTATTTCCACAGATAGTGTGCTTCTAAGACAGCTTTGTGTGACAAGAGTCGATCTTTGTATTATAAAAAAAATAATTTTTAAATATTATTGTACTGGATATCCTCTTTAGCGTATTATAATTAAATTAATTTTATATAATGGTTTTATTTCATTTACTGTTGTAGGATGTTTGAATTTGCTACATTCCTTTTCAGGTGTTGCTCGAGATCTGAATGACCTACGACGAGTTCATCAGCTACTAGTGTCTTCCCTGGCCAAGCTGAATAAAGGCAATACCAAAGGATTGTACAATGAAAGTGCTGCCACCCTAGAGAAACTTGCTATACTAAAAGCGTGGGCAGAGGTTAGCTGGGCGAGAGCTTAATTATGATAAGAATTTGTGTGGAGTTCAGTCTGTAACAGGGTGGGCAATTATATTGAGTGGACACTGTATTTAAAGTGGTTGAGCCCATTGTCTGAGAGCATTTGTTCTATTATACAGTTATTTTATTGCATCCTATTTTGTACAGCAACATGGATGTACTGGACATTGCAAATATTCAAACTTGATTGGTCTCCAAGGTTCTTATTCCCATAAACATGGTGTATGTATATGCTAATATGATGCTCAGGAATAAGTAAAATTTACTGGTACTTAAACAAAATATACACTCATATTGCCCTGAAATCTGCGGTGCAGTGAAATAATTTTTTTTTTTTTTTTTGGAGGGGAGGGGTCAGCCTGCCTTAGTGGGAGACAGCATGTTAAAAAAATACATATGTATATAGAGGTTGTTTTTTTAATGCTGGCCATCTCCCACCGAGGCAGGGTAACCTGAAAAAAGAAACTCTTTCACCATCATTCACACTATTACTGTTTTGCTAGAGGCATGCGTATACAACAGTTCAGATGTCCCTCCAAACAGCAGATATCCCAAAACCCTCCTTTAGAGTGTAGGCACTGTACTTTCCACCTCCAGAAATGTATAGAGATGTAGAGATTAATTTCATTTTTTTGCCCTTCATGGAAGAAAACCTTTATCATTCATTCAATAACTGTCTTGTTAGAAGTTAGCAGTTATCATAATTCGGATAGATCCTCCAAACCATAATATCTTGCCCTTCCCTCAGTGTGTAGGCACTATTCTTCTCACCTCCAGGATGTAAGTCTGGCTAAATGGTTTTTACTGAATCTCTTCATAAATGTTACTTTACTCATGTTCCAACAGCATGTCAAGCTATAAAAAAACTGTCCACCCATGCTGATCACACTCGTGCAAGCTTGCTGGATACTCAAGCCCCTATCACTTGAAACCTATTTTAACCCTCCCCCTCTACCCTCCCTCCCACCAACTTTTCCTGGAATGACCCCTGCCCCTCCTCCAGTGGACTGTATTACTTCAGATATAGTATTTGTTGTTTTTTGTAGTGTAAGTCTAATGGCTACTGCATCTGGTATGCAGTGACTAGATAGGAGTTTCACCCCATGTGAGGTGTGAGTTGTTATAGGCATGCATGATATTAAGAAGCTAGACTCTTTTCATCATAATGTAAATGGGGAGGTACTACCGTCCTACCAAGTGAGTGTAAAAAGGAACCCTATATTTGTTTTACATGATGGTAGGATTGCTGGTGTCTTTTTCTGTCTCATAAACATGCAAGATTTCAAGTACATCTTGCTATTTCTACTTACACTTAGGTCACACTACACATACATTTTTTTTTTTTTTCAACAAGTCGGCCGTCTCCCACCGAGGCAGGGTGACCCAAAAAAGAAAGAAAATCCCCAAAAAGAAAATACTTTCATCATCATTCAACACTTTCACCACACTCACACATTATCACTGTTTTTGCAGAGGTGCTCAGAATACAACAGTTTAGAAGCATACACATATAAAGATATACAACATATCCCTCCAAACTGCCAATATCCCAAACCCCTCCTTTAAAGTGCAGGCATTGTACTTCCCATTTCCAGGACTCAAGTCCGACTATATGAAAATAACCGGTTTCCCTGAATCCCTTCACTAAATATTACCCTGCTCACACTCCAACAGATCGTCAGGTCCCAAGTACCATTCGTCTCCATCCATACACATACATGTACACATTTATGTATACACACTCATCTGAGTTTTCTTTGATTTTATCTTAATAGTTCTTGTTCTTAGTGCTCTTCATTTCATAACCATGGGGAAGTGGAATAAGAATCTTTCCTCCATAAGCCATGCATGTTGTAAAAGTCAATTAAAATGCCTGGAACAATTGGCTAGTAACCCCTTTACCCATATAGCTTACTAAAAAGAAAAAGAAGAAAACCATCAAAGTGGGATGTTTGAATGTACATGAATATGCTACAACAGAGGAAAGATAGACTTAGCAGAGAGATCACTGAATTAGAGCAAAAACTTAGGATGTCATACCTCACAGAAGAAGTACAAAGGGAACAAAAGACCACACAGGATATTGCAAGAAACCCAAAATATTTTTATTCCTATGCAAAATCCAAGCTAAGAACTACCTGTAGAATTGGACCACTACTGAGAGGAGACTCATATACTGACGATGAACAGGAAATGAGTGAAATCCTAAAAGAACAGTATGAGTCTGTTCAGCAACCCACTAAATGACAGCAAGGTAGAAAATGCAGAAATATTTTTCACTCCAGAAGAAGGCCGCACAGACCAACTAACTGACATTAGTACAAATCCCATAGATTTCGAAAAGAAATGGAAAACATGCCCACTCACTCAGCACCTGGACCAGATTCATGGAATTTTCTATTTATAAAGAAGTGCAAAGTACCACTAGCACGAGCCCTCAGTATTCTTTGGAGAAAGAGCTTAGATCTAGGTGAAATACCGGAGGCCTTAAAGAGTGCAGACATAGCTCCTTAGCACAAGGGAGGCAGTAGAGCACTAGCTAAAAATTACAGACCAGTAGCCCTAACCTCTCACATAAAAATCTTCGAAAGAGTGATGAGATGGCAGGTTACAAATTTCATGGACCAGCACAACCAACATAACCCGAACCAGCATGGTTTTAGAGCAGGACGATCATGTCTGTCACAGCTGCTGAACCATTATGACAGAATTACGGAGGCACTGGAAGACGACCAAAACGCAGATGTGATTTACACAGATTTTGCAAAGGCGTTTAACAAATGCGATCATGGAGTGATAGCGCACAAAATGAAGGCCATGGGCATTACAGGGAAGGTAGGCAGATGGATTTTCGGTTTCCTAACACACACAACACAAAAAGTAGTAGTGAACAGGGCAAGATCCAGCATCAGCGAGGTCAAAAGCTCAGTGCCCCAAGGCACTATCCTGGCACCTCTGCTGTTCCTCATCCTCATAGCAGACATAGACAAAAACACCCGGTAGAGGACACTGAAAAAGTACAGGAAGACATAAATAGGGTTTTCCAGTGGGCAGTGGAAAACAACATGACGTTCAATGGTGATAATTTCCAGCTGCTTAGGTATGGAAAGAATGAAGAACTCAAAAGGAGCACAATATACAAAACTCAAGAGGGTCACCAAATAGAACGTAAGGAACACGTAAAAGACCTAGGAATAATTATGTCAGCGGACCTTTCTTTTAAAGACCATAACAAGACAAAGATCATGACAGCCAGGAAGATGACTGGGTGGGTATTGAGAACTTTCAAAACAAGGGAAACAATGCTGATGGTGACACTCTTCAAATCGCTAGTGCTCCCTCACTTAGAATATTGCTCAGTGCTGACAGCCCCATTCAGGGCAGGAGAAATATCGGAGCTAGAACAAATACAGAAATTGTTTACAGCTCACATTGAGCCAGTAAAGCACCTGAACTACTGGGAACGCCTGCAAGTCTTGAACATGTACTCATTGGAGCGGATGAGAGAGAGGTACATGATAATATATACCTGGAAGGTGCTCGAGGGCTTGGTCCCAAATCTGCACACTGCCATAACATACTGGAGTGAGAGATATGGGAGGAAGTGTAAAATTAACCCAGTGAGCAGGGGTGCGGTGGGGACAATAAGGGAACATTGTATCACCATCCGGGGTCCCAGACTTATCAACATCTTACCAGAAGATATCAGAAACACTGCTGGAACAAGTGTTGAAGCCTTCAAGAGAAAACTAGACAAGCATTTTTCACCAGGTGCCAGATCAACCAGGCTGTGATGGATATGTGGGGCAGCGGGCCTTCAGCAGCAACAGCCTGGTTGACCAGGCGAGCACCAGACAAGCCTGGCCCATGGCTGGGCTCAGAGAGTAGATATACTCTCGAAATTCTTGAAAGGTATTTCAAAGGTATATCAAAGGAATGATAAGAATGAGATGATTGTGGATGTTATGAATGAGAAGAAGCTGGATGTCGAGGCTTTAAGCGAAACGAAGCTGAAGGGGGTGGGAGAGTTTCAGTGGGGAGAAATAAATGGGATTAGGTCAGGGGTTTCAAATAGAGTTAGAGCTAAAGAATGTGTAGCAATAATGTTGAAGGATAAGTTATGGCAGGAAAAGAGGGAATATAAATGTATAAATTCAAGGATTATGTGGAGTAAAATAAGGGTTGGATGTGAAAAGTGGGTTATAGTAAGTGTATATGCACCTGGAGAACAGAAGTGTAGAGAGAAAGATTTTTGGGAAATACTGAGTGTGTGTGTGGGGAGTTTTGAACCAAGTGAGAGAGTGCTTATGGTTGGGGATCTCAATGCTAAAGTGAGTAAAAATGTTGTGGAGGGAGTAGTAGGTAAATTTAGGGTGCCAGGGGTAAATGAAAATGGAGGCCTTTAATTGAGCTATGTGTAGAAAGAGGTTTGGTGACAAGTAATACATATTTTATGAAAGAGGATAAATAAGCATACAAGGTATGATATAGCACATAATGAAAGTAGTTCGTTAGATTGTATTGGTAGATAAAAGGTTGATGGGTAGGCTTCAGGATGTACATGTTTTTAGAGGGGCAGCGGATATATCTGATCATTATTTAGTTGTAGCTACAGTTAAAGTAAGGGGTAGATGGGGCAAAAGGAAAATGGCAACAGCAAGAGAGGTGAAAGTGTATAAACTAAGAGAGGACGAAGTTAGGGTGAGATATAAGCAACTATTGCCAGAAAGGTGGGCTAATGCAAGTATGAATAGTTGGGAGGGGTTGAAGAGGGTTGGGATAGTTTTAAAAATGCAGTACATGTATTAGAATGTGGGGCAGAAGTTTGTGGCTGTAGGAGGGTGCGTGCAGGAGGAAAGAGGAGTGATTGGTGGAATGATGAAGTAAAGGGTGTGATAAAAGAGAAAAAGGTAGCTTATGAGAGGTTTTTACAAAGCAGAAGTGTTGTAAGAGGAGCAGAGTAAATGGAGAGAAAAAGAAA